TCTCTCTCTCTCTCTCTCTCTCTCTCTCTCTCTCTCTCTCTCTCTCTCTCTCTCTCTCTCTCTCTCTCTCTCTTCTCTCTGTGCCAGGTACTAACATGTGAAAGGTGGCGCCTTGCTGCAGGTACACCGAAGCGAAGCTGGAGCGATGGCGTCACAGGTAAGATCCCAGGTAAGTCCCCTGGCCTCCGCCACTCTCCTCCCTCTTAGCGCTATCCTACGATCCTAGCAGCGCCCAGCGCTGGAAGACTACTCCTATCGTCACCTACCACCGCTGCAGCATCTCAGGAGAGTGCGGCTGCTGAATGCCTGAAGACTGAATGCCAGCCTCCTAGGTGGACCAGCTATATATAGCGCTGGTCCGGCTGGGAGGCTGCCTTCACCAATGCCGAACGGCGCCAGGATGCCCAAACGGTCTGGCGCCTAAAGTTGACGCCCAAATTCAAAAAGGCTGAATTTGAAAAAGTCCTACCTCGGCCTGGGCGCCTACTGGACCTCAACCGGAGTCTGGCGCCAAAACGGGCGTCAGGGCCTACTTATTGGGCCTACCGACCTACCGGACTCCCTAGGCCAAATGATATGGGCCTGAAAAGGGTTCCTACTATGAACCGACACAGGGCCCGAAAGGCCCCTACCGAACCCCTTATCCTACCTGGTCGGGCCCTGCAGCGGCCCGTGTGGTACTCAGTATGCCACAACCCCCCCTCCTTAAAAGACCGAGCTTACTTGCGAGGGCGGAGCTGTTTGTCGGAGGGAGGGATCGAAGTCCGGGTGGGAGGGGCAGGTCGTGAAGCTTCCTTAGCTAGTCGTTGCTGCTCGTAATGGGCGTAGATCAGTGGCACGGATGCTTGCAAATTTGCTCGAGAAATCCATCGTGTGTCGTCACGATTGCATGCTTTGAAGGTGACTCTGTATTGTCTGGCTTGTTGTCGCACTTACGATCCGTGATGACACAGTCGACTTCCTGAGGACCATCCATCGACGGAGGGTCTTGCGACCGTCGGCCCGGGAAATCGTCGCTTTTAGCTGGAGTATATGTAGCCATCATTTGAGCGGTTGATGTGCCCGCTCTGTTTGCCCGTCCATTTGTGGATGCCGAGCCGAACTCGGTTTCAAAATGTCGACATGAAGTGAGTGTCACGGTCGTTGACGATGTCTTCCGGGACGCCGTGGCTGCAGATCCAGCTGGTGTGCAAGAGTCGCGCAAGCTCGGGAGCCGTGGTGTAATACTTGCAAGGAAGAAATTGCGCGTACTTGCTTAATCGGTCAACGACCGTGAGGATGTCGTCGTGCCCGAAGCTGTCGCGGGGGAATGGGTCGGTGACGTCCATTGCAATGAAGAGGCCGGGACGCCGTGGCTGCAGATCCAGCTGGTGTGCAAGAGTCGCACAAGCTCGGGAGCCATGGCGTAATACTTGCAAGGAAGAAATTGCGCGTACTTGCTTAATCGGTCAACGACCGTGAGGATGTCGTCGTGCCCGAAGTTGTCGCGGGGGAATGGGTCGGTGACGTCCATTGCAATGAAGAGGCCGGGTTCCCGCGGGATGGGCAACGGGCGCAATTCACCGTAGGGATTGCGATTGTGGGGCTTGCTTCATCGGCAGACTTCGCAAGAATCGCAATATCAAGAGACGTCGATAATGAGGTCGGGCCACCGGAATCGTTGCCGAAGTCTTGCAATCGTTCGGTTGACTCCGAAGTGGCCGGCGAGTTGCGAGTCGTGGTACTCGCCGAAAGACAAGTCCAGAGGCAACAGTCTCGTGGGACGCATAATAAGTCCTTGCCTCGTGAGTGGAGAAGCAAGTACCCATCGACGATGTGATAGTGGTTGGTCGACGGGTGATCCGACGATAGCTGTGCATAGAGCGTAGCGAAATCCGGATCGGACTTGTAGGCCCGGATGAAATGTCGTTGGAGTTCCTCATCGAATGCGAAGGCGTGATGTGTCATGGCGCAAAGATCGGGTCTTCGCGAGAGTGCATCGGCTGCTCGATTGGAGAGGCCGGCGAGATGTTTCGATGTGAAGTCGGAATGGTCGATGAAGTACATCCATCGTTTGACAGTGCTGCTCACCGTGTTTTGCGTCTTGTAGTAGATCAACGGGTTGTTATCGGTGACCCATGTGAACTTACGCCTCCCAAGGAGGAAGTGTTGCCATCGCTTGAAAGCCATCACGAATGCGAGCAGCTCCTTCTTCCTTGCATCATCAAGTGAATTGATGGGAGGCACCTTGTGGTTGAAGTACTCCACGGGATGCTAGTCGTTGCCGTCGTGTTGTTCCAAGACTGCCCCAATGCCATAGCCGGAGGTGTCGGTTGTCACCCCCGTTGGCAAGGTGGGGTCGTAGATGCTAAGGACGGGTGCCATGAGCATGGCCGTCTTGAGTGTTTGGAACGACCGACACGTTTCGTCGTCGAATATGAATGGCACCTTTGGCGATTGTAATCTCGTCAATGGTGCAGCGATCCTTGAGTACCTGGTAATGAAGCGTTGGTAGTAGCCTACCAACCCCATGAACGAGCGAACGCCCGTGGTGTTGGTGGGCCGGGCCATACGCGGATGACCTCAATCTTGTCCGCGAGCGGACGGATGCTTTGCAGTGTCACATAATGGCCTAAGTATTCGAGCTCTTGCCGCGCGAATTCACATTTGTCGCGGTTGGCTTTGTACTTGGCTTGTCGTAGCCGCTCCGAGACGGTTCGCAAGTGGTCCACATGTTCGTCCAAACTCCGGATGTACAACAAGATATCGTCGAGGTAGATGAGCACGAATCTGTCCAGCATGTGTCGGAACTTTGTTGTCATGGTCGCTTGGAACATGGTTGGGGCATTTGTAAGACCAAAAGGCATAACCAGCCATTCGATATGACCATATCGCGTCTTAAACGCGGTCTTGTAGCGGTCCTCCCACCGGATCTTGAGTTGGTGATATCCCGATTTGAGGTCAAGCTTGGAGAAAAATTTAGCACCGCCCAACCATTCGAGAAGGTCCTCGATATGCGGAAGAGGGCCGACGTTCTTGACGGTTTGCGTGTTGAGCTTGCGATAGTCAATGCACAACAAGTCCTTGTTCTTCTTCAGGACGAAGAGAACGGGGGCACCGTAGTGTGAAGAGCTAGGCCAAATCCACCCTTTCTCAAGAAGATCGTCGAGTTGTGCTCGTAGCACACTTAGCTCTTCCTCGCTCATGCAGTAGATGCAGCCACGCGGAGGTACGGCCCTAGCCTCAATAATGATCTCGTGGCGGATGGGCCGATCCGGTACTACTCCGTGCGGGGCTTCGAAAACGTTGCCGTAGGCGTTTGAAAGCTCGGTGATGCGTGAGTCCGTCGATGCGTTCGTCGATGGGTTGTCATAGGGAGGGAGGGCGTGGAGAAAACACAAGCCCATCTCCTCGACGTCGTCCCGTGTGATGGAAGCTCGAATGCTCGCGGCGGACACCACGTGATAGCTGATCGAAGGGTGAGGTGGAGGAACCGTGCACGAGACTAGTACCCCATTCCGATCACGAATGTGAACAGTACGGCGGTAGAAGTTCACGGGGTGATCCTCGCTTTGCAGCCACGACATGCCCAAAATGATGTCGAACTTGGTATCCAAAATGTTGAAGGTCACGGCCTCCCTTGCATGCAGGGCAAAGTACACGAGACATAATCAATGCACCAGTCGATTGACTTGTGCGTGTGGCTGTCGACCAACGTGACTTGTGTGGGCTGCAACTTCCTTCGAACGCTTGGCCCAAGGCCAGCGCGTACCATAAAATCTTGGCTCATATAGTTGCGAGTTGCTTCACAATCGATCAAAGCGTTGCAGGTCGTCCGATCTAAATGCGTATGTACAACAATGGCGCGTCGTTGTTGTCGTACCGTTGTGTCTTGAACTTGCCGTCGATCTTCGCAAGGTAGTCGCGAAGGTCGACAACCTCTACTCCGGCGTCCATCAACGGAGCTTGTTCTACAGTGTGCAAATACTCCCGCAATTGTGCCATTAGCGCGTTGTAGTGCAGTTTCAACAATCGACCGGTCGGGGGAAAGGGCATCCATTGGAAGTCCGCGATTGTTAATGGTTCGAGTTCCTCAAGTCTTGACCATGACGTCGAGTCCCCGACGAAAGTTGGCGGCGAAGCTGCCGAATTAGTTGCCGATGGTGATGAAATTGTGCATGCGGTGGAGTCTTGCACGTGGAGTGGTTGGTCCAACGGTGGGACCAAGTGGACAGCGTAATCCTCGTAAGTGTACCAAGGACTTGCAACATCCGCGTTCTCCCCAAATGTGTAGGAGGCCCCTAGCAAGGCGGCCGAATCTAGCAGAGTGAGAGGTGGAGTCACCTCACCTCCCGCGTGGCTCAGTTTCCTGAGCTGGTTCGAGTTCGAACATCCTCCTTGCCTTGATCTTGGCATTGGGAGGTCTTGTGTTTGGTGCTGTTGCACCAATAGCTGCAGCCATAGCGGCTGCACCACTTTGTATCCGGCCTCGGTCAAGCTAAACTTGACCCATGGTACTGGCTGTCCGTTTCCGGCCGGCGATGCTGCTTTCGCCTTCCCTTTTCCATGGGATTTGTTGTCGCTTCGCGGTTGGACGGCAGCCACCTGATCTCCCTCACATGATGCTAGGGTGGCTTCCGGGTCGTCCACAAGGTTGTCCGTTTGGACTGCAGCGACTGGCTGCGGACGCGGACCAAATTTGCCTTTCTCCAGCGGCCCTCGGATGGTTCAAAGTGCCAAAACTTGAGCCTGTCGAGGCTGACGCCTTCGTGCTGCTACAACAGATCTTGGGCCTGCTTGCAGCAGGCTTGGGCATTTGCGTCAGCTGCGGCCTGAAGCTGCTGCCTCTGCTTCAGCCTGCAGGCGGGCAGCCTCGGCTTCCGCCTGGCGTTGTTCCTCAGCCTCGATCTGCGCGAGCTGATCTTGGACCCGCTTGTGGAAATCGGCAATGGACTCGCCGACAAGTTGGCCCGGCATGCCCAAAACTGGAGCCGGCATCGTGACGGGGCACTGCTGACGTGGCACAGCTGCCGTGGCACTGCTGATGTGGCACTGCTGCTGATGTGGCATGGCTGCTGACGTGGCACTGCTGCTGAATGGGAAAGCAGACAAGGGCTGGGTGGCAGGGAAACACAGGGAGGCAAGCAAACTGCACTTTCCATTCCCGGTCCTAATCAACGGAAAAAAATAAAATAAAGGAAAAAGATTCCTCCCTTTTTTTTTTTCAGAGTATCTGTCGATCTGCTATCAGTGAGGCATCTTGGAGGAGTGTACGAGTGAGATCTAGGCATCACAGAATTTCGAATTTCCAAAAAAATGTGATTTTAAAAAGAACGAGAATGTGTGTGAAATAGAAAGGACGTTCAAATTTCAGCAAAAGAATAAATCCAGTTTCCAAGAAAATGATGAACTCCTTCAACTCCCTTCTATTAACCCAATTCACCTAAAATGCCCAGAGCCGAACCCGAAATGCTAATGTCATAGTTTTCCGAAGATTTCGGGATTTTGAAACTTTCGGAATTCCGGATTTCACGGAATCGCGAAATTTGTCGAATTCCGGATTTCGCGGAATCGCAAAATTTGTGGAATTTCGGACTTCACGGAATCCCGAAAGTTCCGAACTTCCGAATTTGTAAGAAAAAAATTTGCAGGAAGTTGACGAATTCCTACTTGATTAACCAATCAATCAATCAATCAATCAATCAATCAATCAATCAATCAATCAATCAATCGATCGATCAAGCTGGCTCCTTGATTGGGCAGATCCTCTGATTGAGAAGTCTGCTCCGCTACCAAACTGTCGCATACCAATATGGTGCAGACCAGAACCAAGAACCGACCTCTCTCACATAGTACAGGATAGCACAGCGGAAGACTGAAAAACCAATGATCAGACCAATCAATGTCGCAATGCAGACCAAACATACATCATCATCATCGCAAGGTGTGAAGGGGCCAAGCGCTACGCACAGGGAGAATGCGCCAGGCTCAGATCATACACAGATGAGGTGGGGGATCAGACGAAGAGGAGGGGAGGATAAGGATGTCGTCAACACCATGTCTTCGATATCAATCCCAAATAGTCCCCCACCCAATGTTTCTGTCCCAATGTCGAGTCTGAATCCAAATGTCGTCAAATCCCGAAGTCACAAATCTCTCTCTCTTTCTCTCTCGCAGTCTGTCGATACTGAGAAGTCAGGTAGCTGGAGGGTGAGGGAGAGATGGTGGACTGGAGGAGGAAGAAGAAGAAGAAGACCTCTCTCTGTCTCTCTTTTCTCTCTGTGCCAGGTACTAACCTGTGAAAGGTGGCGACTTGCTGCAGATACGCCGAAGACGAAGCTGGAGCGATGGCGTCACAAGTAAGCTCCCAGTTAAGTCCCCTGGCCTCCGCCACTCTCCTCCCTCTTAGCGATATCCTACGATCTTAGCAGCGCCCAGCGCTGGAAGACTACACCTATCGTCACCTACTACTGCTGCAGCAGCTCCGAAGAGTACCGCTGCTGAATGCCTGAAGACTGAATGCCAGCCTCCTGGGCGGACCAGCTATATATAGTGCTGGTCCGGCTGGGAGGCGGCCTTCACCAATGCCGAACAGCGCCACGGCCTGGCGCCCAAACGGTCTGGCGCCTAAAGTTGGCGCCCAAATTCGAAAAGGCCGAATTTGAAAAAGGCCTACCTCGGCCTGGGCGCCTACTGGGCCTCTACCGAAGTCTGGCGCCAAAACGGGTGCCAGGGCCTACCAACTGAGCCTACCAACCTACCGGACTCCCTAGGCCAAACGACATGGGCCTGAAAAGGGCCCCTTCCTACTCTGAACCGACACAGGGCCCGAAAGGCCCCTACCGAACCCCATATCCTACCTGGTCGGTCCTTGCAGGGGCCCGTGTGGTACTCGGTATGCCACAATAAATCTCTGCAAGGAAGATGAGCAATAGCGAACTTCAGTAATCAAACAGCATCATACATATGAGACCAGATAGTCGTGACCTCGAACCAAAAGCAGAATTGCATCACGAGTTTCACCAAATAACAGCACGCCAAAAGCTCATAATTGACAATGCTGGAATAGTCTCATCATCATCAACGAAGAACCAATGTTGATATCCTATCTGGCGTCCGGCGCCCAGACTACGAATGGCAAATCCTATCTAGCCTAGACTACAATGCCGCTGATGACGTCAACAGCTTCCCAAGTACGAGCAGACCTCAGCCAATGCCGCACGCATCAAGCACCAGGTATGTCTCTCGTATCACTCACAACCTCGTTCCCCAACTCACAGATGCCACATGCACCCAAGGACCACCATGCACCCCATCCAGCATACAACAGCGCAGCTCGGCTATGGCTGCCTGCTCCTTCCAGCTCGCCCATGAGCGCGTGAGCCTGGCAGGCAATAGCGCAGCAGCGCTTGCGCACAAAGCAGCCAGTGCCCGAATCACCAATGCATGGGCAGGCCCTTCCCTATATCGAAATGGCCTGCTGCTGCGTGCTGTGCTGCAGTACTGGGCCTCGGCCCAGAAGCTTCCGGTAGGCCCAGGGAGGCTGAGCCTCAGTCCGAAGGAAACAGGCCCAGGGCTTGTGGCAGTTACCAGCACCCAACTGTCCTCAGCCTTTGTTCGGTCCACTTTGTGTATCCGGCCCAGGCCTTGCCTCAGTTACATGCAATGAAAGGCAGCCTGGGCCTGGGTGCTTCCGACAGGTGCTGCGCAACTGCCTGAATTTCCCCAGTTGCGTAGTAGTCCAAAATAGGCCTCTTGGGGTCTGTCGAGCCTGCCTTCACTTAGGGCGGCCGATGCTGTTGCAAATACGGGCCCAGTAGGGCTTATCGAGGCCTTGTCCCTCGCATTCTCTCCTCCATACTTCGCTAGTCCTCTGAGAAGTTCAGTCTTCGATAATCTGGCGCTTTCCCTTCTGCGGAGACTTCTCATAGTGAGCGACTACCTGTGGAGCGGTCTGCATCAGTTCCTCTCTTGTGAACCATCTATCCTCCTTTGGATCAGTGTGATGTCTGAACCGAACTCGATACTGCAGCTTCAGTTTTGGAGGACGTCCTCTGCCTGTTGGTCTTGGAACTGGTATCTCCTTGTGATCAACAATGGCGTCGATGTCGACCTCTCCATCCATGGTTGGGGGCAGCATTGAACGGCGAGAGGGAAACTGATCTGTTTCTTCAAAAGGTGCACGCTTTGAGGCGTGGAAAATAGGATAAGTGCGTAAGTGACCAGAGATACGAATAACATAAGATGGTCCATCTGGCTCATTCCCCACAACATCTAGATTCTCCCATGGTCCAAAGTATTGTGGCATGAGCTTACGGGAAATCCCATACTCCTGTCCCAGTTCTGAGGACTTAACCCAGACTCTTTCTCCTACCTGGAATGTAGATGGGCGGCAGTGTTTGTTCTCAGACTCTATCATCGCCGCCTGTGCCTTGTGCATCTGTTCGACTGCCTGCTGCATCAGTTGCTCATATCGATAAGCAAACTCCAAGGTCCCTGGTGCAGCAGCTGACTCATTCTCAGGTAGTAGGAAGTCCAAGGGCAGTCTAGGCTTGAAAGTCAGTAGCAGGTTGTTCGGGCTTACCCCCGTAGCGCTGTGCACAGCGTTGTTGTACAGGCTGGCGATGAGAGCGAGTTTCTCATCCCAGTCTACCTGATTTGGCTTGATGTAATGCCTCAGCAGGTGTTGTACAGCGCGGTTCAACTGCTCTGCCTGCCCATTCGCTTCTAGGTGATTATCTGATGTCATTTGCAACTGTGTGTCCTGTTCTGCAGCTGCAGCTTTCCACAGTTCACTAGTGAATCGCACATTCCGGTCACTAATGATAGACTTAGGCAGTCCGAAATCTCTGGCCCAGTTTCCTTTGAATAGCTTAATGACGTACTCAGTCTTTGCTGTTTCCGGCATTGCAACTAATCTAGCATACTTACTAAACCTATCCACAATGACAAAGATGTGTCGCATTCCACTCTTGTTGGTGATCAGTGTGTCCATGAAGTCCATGGATAAACTCTCACCAGGCCTTTCCGGAATCGGAAGGGGCTTGAGGAGCCCAAGAGGGGCCTGTGTACGGCAGAGCTCGCAAACTCCTACTTTTCCTAGAGCCACGCCCGACCCATATTGGACATCCATAATATTTGGCAGCCGTAGCCAGCCAAAACAGCTGTTTAAAAATCCTCACAACCTGGCGTACTAACCCGGGCCCGCCCGCGCCCAGGCCTTGTTGAAGAGTTGCAGCCAGACCTGCCCAGACCCAGACATTATTTTCACCACTTACCCCCGCCCAAACCCTCAAGCATAATCCCACCCGCACCCGCCCGTAGCCAACATTTTTTTTACCACCCGCACCCGTCGTAGCCGACAATTTTTTTGACCACCCGCACCCGCCCGTAGCTGGCATTTTTTTTACCACCCGCACCCGCCCGTACCCGGCATTGTCTCTCCAAGTTTTCCAACTATTTGAATTGAAGAACAAGTACACACATGAATGGTAAGGCTCAAGACAACTGCACATGCCACATGTGTATGCGAAAATAAAACCCATTAGAAAACGAAGAAAAAATTCAAAGCATACTAGAAGTGTCACGAAAGAGAAAAAAACAAAACAAAACATAATTATCAAAATAATAACAAATCCTTAGTGGACAAAGAAAGAAGTATGCTATCATCAAGAAAGACAAGTCACTTATAATATAACCTCACATACTTTCATTGGTTTGGCATCTCAAAATTTGTCCTAGGTCTTCTTAGCATTGAAAAATGAGATCAATCAAGTTTTGAACTTGAAGCTTCGTATCTCACTTTGCAAAGTTTGTTGGCTCACTAGGAAACAATTTTCTTCATCTATCTGGCTGCAGTCATTTTCACTAGGATTGCAAATATCTAAAATACTGCAGTCCTAAACTGCCAAGTCTTTGTTCGATCTAACGAACAAAACATCATTCACCACTAACGGTTTTATCGAATTCCGTTTTTTAGTAATAATGTTGCCTGCATCGGAAAAATTACACTCGCTTTTTGAACTTGATGCAGGCACAGATAGGATGGCACATGCCACTCGTGCCATAATAGGAAGGGGGGGGAGCAACAATTGTTGTTCAGCAGTCTTTACTGCAACCCCTTTTGCCTTCCACCAAGCCAAAATCTCGAATGATCGCTTCTCATCCTTTGTCAACTTTAGGCTCCACTAATAATCGAGCTCCTTCTGTATCTGCTCTTCACTAGTCAATGACGCATTGCCCGCAGCTGCATCTATGTCTTCATCTTCTTCATCAGAGCTGCACAATCCAGTACGCGGTTTCGTCTCATCCACCTTTCGTTTTTTCAATGGTCGTGGAGAACGTTCTTTTTCTGATACAACTTCTCTGAAACCTTCCTTACTCACCTCTCCTTCCACTCTTGCACCGACAGTGAGCATCATCCTTCTCATGCCACTTTGTGCTCTTTTTATTTGAGCAACAGGAACCTCAAACAAGTCTAAGCGATCTTTCTGCCTCGGGTCCAAAAGTGCAGCCTGAACGTGCACGTCCTCAAGCTCCCATTTCTCCCTCAATACCTCTTTCACAAGCTTCTTGATTCCCCTTATGCCCGCAGAGTCTGGAGGGATGGTGGTTTCTTTTCCACTGCTGTCCACAACCTGCAAAGACACAGTTCGAATCTCACAACGTTCCATGAGAGAGTGTCGCTCGAAAGGGACTAGGTGAAGAGTCGGCTCAAGAAATTTCTCAAGCTTTAAGGTTGCCGCCTGAAAAGGTTTGAGGAACCTTCTAACAGCTGGCGGTCAATCTTTGCGATGAGAATCGCACGATTTGCAGTTCGACTGACAAGAATGTTCGTAATATCTTCATAATTTTCAACGACACTTTCTAACAGTCTTAATAATGAATTCCACCGTGTTGCATTCTCTTGCTTCAAAGTGGTTTTCAAACTATTCTGAAGATTTGCTTGCTTGAAGTACCTGACCAGYTCTTTGCARTGATCAATCATGTCAAAAACCTCAGGTGCGGTGTCATAGAACTTATAAAAAGGAGTGGACGTCACCTTATTGCTCACCGTTGTGGTTTTGTTCAAGACTGTGGTCAAGATGGTTGCGATTTTGTGATCTGCGCACGRGAGCATCCGGTACACACTCYGAATGCYCTCTGCTCCACACATGTTTGACCCACTKTCCGAGCACACAAAACACAGTTCCGGATCAGTGCATCCGTACGCTTCGAGACATTCTCGAAATGCCTTCAAAATGAGAGGTGCAGTGTGCGCCTCATCGTAAAATGCCTTCACCTGTAAGGTTCTATTGTGCAGCTTGAAACAATTATCAATGTAATGAATTGTGACAGACACAAATGAGTTTTTCCTCATTGCATCTGTCCACATGTCAATTGTGAACCCAGCACATATTCCCTCCTCGAAGTGCTCTTTTACTCTTTCACTCACTATTTTTCGAAGAGATTCAGCAGTCAACAATATCTGCTGCTTCACTGTGTTCGGCGCAGGCACCAGACTTTCCGCTCGCATGCCTTTGCCAATGTTAATTCCAACATCCAAAATAACTTGTGTAACTTTTATAAAACCTGCGTCAGAAAATATGGAAAATGGACGAAGGTCCTCACAATACATCAACGCTGCTGCCTTTGCCAGATTTTTCTTCTGTGCAGCAGTAGGTTCAATATTGCCCACAAAACACCGCAAAGACCCAGCCTCCCTGTTCTCAAGAGGACATTTATGGCTGTTCAACGAACTTGTCCCATTCGATGTTGTATACGCATAGGGGCAGTAGCAGTGCCTACATGCCACATAACCTGTGTTGTGCTCCCACACAGGCGACCCGTCTTGCTTGCATACATGCCCAAACCGTTTCCAGCAAGATGCAGTGCTTGAGCTTTCGTCTTTGAGGACATACTCAGCACCTGGCGCACCCTTCTTTAAGACACGCTGGATTCGTGCCTTAAATGTGAACATGTCGGTTTTTTCTGTTGTCRACATTGTCCCAAAACTTCGTAMCAAAGTACCGGATTTCCCCTCATGCATGCCAGCGCTGTTCAGCGATGGCCRCGATGTCGATGCTCCGCTGCTAGGCTGCCCCTGCATGTTCGCACGCTTCCCTGACCCGGGAAAAAGACAAGAAAAGCCAAAATTAAAAAATGAACACCATACCCTTGATGATTCCTATCTCATTTCAACTCTATCTTGCGTGAGACCATCTGTGTGATGACATGAATGCATGCGAGATATTGCACTCCAGCAAGCTGTGAACTGACGGGTTCTTTGCATCCCACTTGCAGGGAGGATTGCCCGAATCTGGACGGGCTTTTCACCGAGATGCAGAAAAGCAGATCACGCGCGATTTTCTGCACCTCTCCACAAACACRYCCACAGTCGGGCGTAAACATAAAAAGAGTACATAAAAGGCGCCCAGGGCCGAGGTTCCACTAGCAGAGAGAATGTGATTCAAGGCCGGAATCTGGACGTGCGCGCTTTTTTTCTTTTTTTTTTCTTTGTGGACGTGCGTGTTTGCCAAAAGGTGCAGAGAATCGCCATTGATCTGCTTTTCTGCATCTCAGAATAAAACACATCCAGGCGCTAAATCCAATCCTCGTTGGGGAAAAAAAAAAAAAAAAAACCCGCAAAATCATCGTTGGTCCTTCTCGACTTCCGTTAAAATTGGAAGATACAGAGAAAGAAGATTGGCATGGCCCCTCCATAAGGATGACACGCATAAATCGAGAAATTGTCTGATCCTCGTTGTTAGTGGGACCTCGCCCTAGGGGGAGGAGAGAGAGCAAAAGAAAGAGAGAGAGAGAGAGAGAGAGAGAGAGAGAGAGAGAGAGAGAGAGAGAGAGAGAGAGAGAGAGAGAGAGAGAGAGAGAGAGAGAG